TTGAGGTAGCTTTTTACTTTTTACACAGAAGAAAACATTACTTTGCCTTAAACCACAGATTCAAATGACAAACCGGTGTATTTCTTCACAAATAGAGAAAATATTTGAATGGAAATTTCCTTCGCCCTGCTGCACCCCTTGCGAAAGCTCGTCACCCCCACGTGGCAGCTGCAACCCACTTTGGGAACCGCTGCTGTAAGGGAAATAAAAATCCCTTTTTGTGACATTTTATTTATAGTTTTAATTTGAGTTTTTGAATGTCTCGGAACACTTTGATACATTCGTGTATCAGTTACCGTAATCTCTGGACTATAAGTCGCTACTTTGAAACCTGCGGCTTAAACAACGATACAGCTTATTTATAGGTTTTTACGGGCTAATGAAATTCATACCGCTAGCGAGAACACTGTTCATGTTCTGTTGTGCTCGGTATGGCTGATAATAAAGACCCCCAACTTCCCTGTTTCTGTTTACCTCTACTGCGGACAAACACAAAGTGAAGGGAGTTAGCCCCGGAGCTAACGTTAGCTTCAGCCCTGGAGCTGATCACTAAGTCTACCCTGTGCATTCCAACTACGGTCGGGGCGCCAAAGCAGGAAAGAGCTAGCCACGTTACAGTCAGAGTGGAAAGTGGAAAAAAAAAACGTACTGTGTAAATATCCCATGTTACAACGTGGACATGCGGGTTATAAAGAAGTGCGTCTTTTTTTTTATTTTTTTTATTTAGTGGGTATATTTAGTAGCCTATATTCAGGTGCGTTCAATAGTCCGGAAATTATGGTAACTTTTCGCTCCGATGCAAAATGAGGTATTTTTTATGATGATTCCTTTACAGGTAGGAACATTCTTTTTCTATGCAAACCTTCTGAAATGAAAATAGTATGTTGAGAAACACTGTTTAAATATCCTTTCTACTGATGCAAAAGCACTCGGGGAACCCTCGAGATAATTACTTTTTTTTTTTAGTAATTTTCTTGGGTAATGTCTTTGTCCTTCACTGTATCTTTAATACCGACAGCGGATTCGGAATGTCAATCACTTCAGATCGGTGCTCTACTTCCTGATACACCGCTGTAAATGTATTACACACCTTTGTAATTTATTTAACTTCACCTTCTTCCGGTAAAAATATCTGCCCTTATTTTATGAAAAGGTACAGCAGAGACTTTTAATATACACCAGATAGATGTGGAGCACAACTCTGTCACTTACAGTTTGTCAGTGATTTATTTTAATCATCTAAGCTTCTGGTGTGTGAGAGAGAGAGAGAGAGAGAGAGAGAGAGATTTCTGTGGATTTCCCTACTGACAAACCATTAAAGTGACACATCTCATGTCACTTCCCTAAGTTTGCTCTGTTTTTCCTACATTCCCTCTCGTGAGTGTCAGTAATGTCTTTTATTGAATTACAGCTCTGACTTTGTCCTTAAAAAAAAAAATCTTGCTAAGAGACATGTAAAAAAAAAAAAATCCTTCCCTGTTCAATCCATAGTGATTTATTCAACTCTGGAAAGATACAAAGCAATACAAGCAAAAGAAGCTAATGCTAACGGTTTGAAATCTTTGGTTATTATGACCCCTCCAAACTTAACTTAAAGCTTAAAGCCTTCAAGTTGACGATAATTCTCACCACAAAAATCCACATTTGCTTAATAAAAAAAAAAAAAAAAAAAAAATTGTAAAGCATATGTTTGTGATCTCTCTCAAGTCCGGTGGCACAATTTTTTTCTTCTTTTTTTTTTTTTTTTTTTGCTCATGTCAAGGCATGAGTGTGATGCTGCAGTTGCACAGGTCAGGCCAAAAGCCGCTGCTAACCATCTTTCCTGACAGGCCGACCAATGTCCGGCGCTGGCACACTTCACACCTGCTGGGACTTTAACCACTTAAAGATTAACAGAATCTATTCCTCCTCCTGATCTTTCCTGCTGTGAAAGTGTGTGTGCTGTTTTTGTCTGCGTGGCCTCGAAACCTGCAACAACCCGCGGTGTGTGTGTGTGTGCATTGTATAAAACAGTGCAAGGTGGTAGCGCGCGGGTATAAGGGTCACAGTGGTGTGCTCGTGGCACGGGTTGCAGATATGAAACCCCCCCACAGAGTCAGTGTTTGGCCCTCCTGCTTTACTGCATTAACCCCGGGTGACCTCTGACCTCTCGCCTTACTGCCCCGATTGACGTTTTGAGCCCTCCCGCCGGGGCAGTTTGTGCACGTTTTTGCAAATTTCCAAAAAAACACTTCCAAAAGAAGAAGTATATTTGTCAGTTTTTTGGGGTTTTTTTTCCCAAGAACTTGATATTGTTTTGACACTTTCTTGAAATCTGTGTTTACTCCATGCAAAGGTGCCAACCCCCTGCAGTCCAACTCTCTGGGACACACATCACGGGCTTATGCCAAAGAAGGAGAAGTGGGAACAGCATTGCTGGAGTGGGAGGGAAAAGTAAGAAACGCACACACACACACACACACACACACACACACCTGACGTGTGTTAAATCAGTCAGCAGAATTTTGTCAGCAAACATGTCTCCCTGTCATTTTTTTTTTATGTTGAAATGAAAATGTGAAAGCTGCGGAGGTTAGCTGATGATAGTGTCCTGCTAGAGAACATAGATGGGTATTGTATTGGTATATTTACGACCTACATTTAAACAGATCCGTCACAGGTTTTTTTTTGTATCTAAAAAAAAAGAGGTAAATATGGTTTACGGATGACAAAAGACAAGAGATAAAAAAATAAAAACATATAACCTGAATTTATGTGAATTTGGTTTGGAAGCAAGCATCATCCATCTCCCCCGCAGGGGGACACAAAAGCCAAACTTCAAGCATGTTTTAACAGAAACATTTTTGTATACTCACTCCCCAAACTTTGTTTAAACATTTTCCACGAGGATAAAAAAGAGAACAGAAAGCGGTGACAACCAAAACGGTGTGCTATGTTAGCCTCATGTTTTAAAAAAAAAAAAAATCAATTTTGCTAAACAATTATTTATGTATACATATTGTAAGGTTACATTACTGCCTCCTACTGAAAACACTTTGACCAGAATAAAAAAAAAAAAACCCCGAACCAGATAAAACAAGCCAAACGCATTCTTCCTGTAACACACTTGAAATCCGTGTTTCCCAGTTTTTTTTTAAGCCACGGCACATATGTATACACATACACACCACCAAGCAAAAATCTCACAAAAAGTATATGTGATGAAATAGGATAATCTTCTAGTTTAAAATGCTCTTATAATTGGCTAAAATCTCGGCCCGTTTAGTTGAAGACGATGCTGATATACTGGCAGGAATTGAAGAAAGACACTCGCAAAGATCTTCAATAGCTCTGATTAACCTTTTTTTTTTTTTTTTTTTTTTAGTTGTCAAAGCCATCTGCTGCCACCTAGCAGAAGAGTATTTAATTATTCTTTCATGCTTTGATGAGCAAAGAGAAATGAGTCTCACAAAAAGTATATGTGATGAAATAGGATAATCTTCTAGTTTAAAATGCTCTTATAATTGGCTAAAATCTCGGCCCGTTTAGTTGAAGACGATGCTGATATACTGGCAGGAATTGAAGAAAGACACTCGCAAAGATCTTCAATAGCTCTGATTAACCTTTTTTTTTTTTTTTTTTTTTTTTAGTTGTCAAAGCCATCTGCTGCCACCTAGCAGAAGAGTATTTAATTATTCTTTCATGCTTTGATGAGCAAAGAGAAATGAGATGCAATAAATAAACAATAGTTTTCAGCCCAAATAAATGAAATTGGATCATTTTCCACAACACGCCGTTACACAAATCACAGATTACTGTTGGACCTCTGCTGAAGTTTGGCAGTTTAGATGGTGCTTGATATGATATCCCTCCTCTCGGCCTTTGCGGGCTCACACTTTTGAGGTAGCCAAAGTGCGGTCTGCTCTTTTCCTACATAAAACTTGAATTATCTGTAGTTATCCTGCAGCTTGACAGCCGGCTGGGGCTAAGCAAGATGGAGAGGGAGAATAAACAGGCTGCCTTCACTGCAGGGTGAAACCTGGAGACTTAGGAGACAAAAGAGGAGAGGATGAATGAGGCATGGGGTGGCTGAAGAAAGAGGGAGAGTAGGAGAGTCGTACGAAGAAGAGTACAGGGGGTGGAACGAGATCAAATCAGCAGAAGAGAGGAAATGGTTGTCGGAGAAAGGAAGCCAGGGAAAGATAGGGAGCACGGCAGGAAGCAGATAGCTGCTGGTAAATAGAATGGAAATATTACAGTGATTGGACGTGAAGGTTTGAGTGAAGATGTTTTTTTTTTACAGGAGGATATTTGTCAAAATGCGAACTCGTATTAAATTAAATTATCAACATTTGTTGACTCACTTTTGGATTGATACCTTTTTAGCAAGCTCTTTTTGATGCAACAATGTTCAAGTAAAAATAATTTCCCCAATTGCCCCCGAAACCATGCCCTTCCTGTTGCTTTGCCACAAAAATGAACAAATGTCGACAGTAACATCTGCGATATCTCTCGATGAGAGACTTTTTGACAATTTCTTTCAAACTCTTAAAGATTCCCCTTTAATAGCCAAGACCTGTTATCAGTTTACCTTGAAAATAAGAAACCTTCAAGCATGTAATTTCAAGAAAAAAAATAAATGTATACTGTAATTTCCGGACAGAGCGCACCTGAATATAAGCCGCACCCACTAAAATAACAAATAAAAATAATTGTACATATATAGGCCACATTTATCTATAAGCAGCAAGTGTCCACGTTGTAACATGCGATATTTACACAAAAAGATTTTTCATTTTCAATTAAATAAATTGTTGTAACATGCGATATTTACACAGAAATATTTTTCACTTTCAATTAAATAAATGTTTTTTTTTCCATGCCTGTAACACGGCTGGTTACACGTTAGCGCTTTCCTGCTTAGGCGCCTCCACCATAGTTGGAATACTCCAGAGCCGAAGCTAACGTTAGCTCCGAGGCTAACTCCCATAACTTTGTGCTTGTCCGCAGCAGAGGTAAACAGAAACATTGAAGTCGGGGTCTTTATTATCAGCCATTAACAGTGTTTTAACAGCTCCTGTATAACCAACTCGCGCTTCAACATGACAGGGCTACAAACTGCTCTCAACTTTCTGCCCCACGCACATATACGCACGCAGCCATTCACAGACAGACATACGCTACTAGTATATCACGCAGTAGCCTACCAGAAAAGTCAGTGATCACCAGCGCTATGAACTTCGTTAGCCCCGTAAAAATCCATACGTTAGCCGCATCGTTGTTTAAGCTGCAGAGTTCAAAGCAAATAATGACACACCATCAGAGTCAAAGTTTTCTGGTCACCAGCGCTATGAACTTCGTTAGCCCCGTAAAAATCCATACGTTAGCCGCATCGTTGTTTAAGCTGCAGAGTTCAAAGCGTTATGAATAATGACACACCATCAGAGTCCTTGTTCCTGGCTAAAAGCTTCACAAAGTATTCTGAATGAGAGTTGATATGTTGATATATCATGTCATTGTAGGCAAATTCTAATTCTAATTGCTAAGTATGCTAATATTTTGATTGGTTGGTTCCATAGTGTAGTGGTTAGCACGCCTGCCTCGGAAGCACATGCTTGCTAGGGGCAGCCTGTTAACAGCATATCTACTGCTAACACAAGTATTTCCCAAATATAGGATCACTATAGTACAAATGTATTTATTTTTATTTTTTAACATTTTGATTACGTTTTAAGATTTGACTTATATAGAATTTGATCACTCCCCTCACCTCAAATAAGTTCAATTTTCACAATAATAACAGCACCCCCTGCAGGGGAGGATATGCCAGGTGGCTACCGACACTGTTACCACATTCCTAATGGTCAAATCTTGAATCGCACGTTCCACCTGCGCTTGGATCACCAAGTGTGTCAAACAGCTGTTTTTTATTTCCTCTTCAGTTTAAGGAGATCAAGGCCCGACGGGAGGCAGAGGAGAGGAGGCGCTTCCCCCTGGAACGGAGGCTGAAGGAGCACATCATCGGCCAGGAGGGGGCCATCAACACAGTGGCGTCAGGTAAACACATCCAGCGGCATTCACAAAAACGTCACCGCTCGGGATATTTAGGCAGTGTAATAAGTAAAACTTCACACTTTCCACCCCGTTTATACACTTTGAGGTTCATCCTTGTCCTTCTGTGCAGTTTTCCACTGCCCTCTGTCTCCTCTCTCCTCTCTCCTCTCTCTTCCTCCCTTCCCTCCAGCAGTAGGTGGGTTCTGAACGGCCAGCGCAGGCTGTAATTGGTTAATTGTGATGAATGAGCTGTCTATCAAGTGTACACAGGTGCTTTGTGCATATGTGTGTGTGTGTGTGTGTTTGCGGGACAGCTGAAGAGAGCAGGCTCGGAGCCGCCAGCTA